GGGGGGGGGGGGGGGGTCTGGAAAATGTAACTTGGGACCTGGGAGGCCTGAACTTACATTTTTTTTACTCCCCCCCCCTAGGGTGCGTTGGCAGATCGAAGATACGCCAATCACTAAGAAATTATTTGCGGGTGGGAGTCACTTAATGAAATATTTTCTAAATAAGTAATTAACTAAAAGTATTATTTGGCAACTGTTTGCTGATGCCTCAACACCAAGGAAAACATAGCCTCCAAAAAATGCAGGACCAGGACACAGGCGAAAGGTGAGATTTGCAGACGTCAAAAATTGTAACTTACAATTAGTCCACGCATCCAAACCCTCAGATTTTACAGGGAATACATGGGTTCTGTGAGAAAGTTTGACCTCACAAATTGTAACTTACATTTTGGCCACATGCCCAACTCCCCAGAATTTACAAGGAACTGGGGTGTCCCCCTGAGGTACTTACATTTTAGCATACTGAAAAGCACACACGTCCGACCACACGAACCGCAAGCAGGGGGCAAGAAACCAGGGGATCAAACGGCGTTGAATATCCTTGTTCTCCTGCCCAATAGAACAGGCAGCCTCTCCTTTATTGTTCTCCATTATTGCTTATTGTGTATGGAGTGTGATCGTCTGTTATGTTTGGGTTTCGCTTTGTTGCCTTCCTTTGGGGTCTTCAGTGGGAACATGTATGTTCCTGTTTCTTGGCAGTTTGCTTTGGGTATGCTTCCTGTTCTTCTTTGTTGATGATGACTCAGACCCACTGCTGTTCCCTCATCTGCTTTGTTTTTGTGTGGCTTGTTGCTGCAGAAGGAGTTGTGTATGGAAGACCCCCCCGGCCAAAAAGAATTGTAACAAAACAACATATATATTTTATATATTTGTTTTTTCAGTTCAAAAAATGCTAATGATGCAGCCGGCCGCGGGCAGCATCATTCAACTTGATGGCTGACGGCTGACATGTTTCGGCAGGCATTTCCTTGAAATGCCGCATTTGACCATGCGGGACGTGGTCGTGAGCAGAAATTAGTGTGGGGATGGGGGGGGGTCTAAAATTGTAAGCGCTCCTCTGTGCCTCAAAAATGTAACTTACATTTTTGAGGTCATTCCCCAGGAAATCACCCATGAGGCCTCAAAAATGTAAGTTACCTTTTTTGAGGCCACCTCAAAGTTAATGTAATTACATTTTTTGAGGCCCTGCGCGCAGGAAAATGTAACTTACAATTTTCGACGCCCGAAGATTCCCTGTGACTCCAAGGGTTTCACACACACGCCTCCAACAAGGAGAGGCGCAGAAAAGCTAAGCTTCAGACGGGTGTGCATAGACAGATGAGAAAATGAAAGGAGGACAAGACAGACCGGGTGTATGTGGTTGTAATGAAAGGAAACCAAGTGACCAGTGACAACCGATGAACCAAACCTCCTTCTAACCACGTGGGGGGCCTCAGACCTGGGTTTAGAGTACGAGCACTAGTACGAGCGCGCATATACTGAGGACCAGACAAATGTGCGCACAACAGAGAGAAGGGATGAGGTGCCAAGACGTGAAGACAGAAGGATGTGAAACGAAAAAGGAAAAGAATGTATGCAAATGGAAAAAAGAAAAGGGAACCAAATGGAGGGGCCAGAAACCGACGACATTAAAACGGACCTAGGTAGACCTAGCCTGGTATGAAGTCTGCGCGCTGTGTGTGCACTTGAGGTTTCCACAATGGACCTTAATGAACTTTGACCGCTCTGGTCACCGTGTGTCATGAAAAAATGGCGGGCGGCTGGAGTCCGCTATGGACACCTTTGGCTTGCTCGAAACTGCGTACTTGGTCCCAATAGTTCGTGACTTTGGCATAAGCCTCCTTCGCTCGCTGCGAGCTACTCGTTCCCGGGCAGGGGAAGAAGGACAAACCCTTGCTTAGCAAGGCCACGGGGGGCACTCCTCGGGCTCACCCCGGGCCCCCACGAGTTCCAGGGAAAGGTATGTAGTATGGTCGAAGTTGAAAACCACAAGGTTGAAAGTTTAGGTCCAAAGCTCAAAGTGCAAAATCGAAACTCAAGACTCAAGGTGCACATTGCACATCTGCGGATGAAGTTCCGCTGCAAAGATTGAGCACAGTGTTCTAATTACAAGCAGGGACCAGACGGTAATGAGCATTAGGACATGAGCAGGTACGCGCAGCTGATCAGGCTGCATATCCTGAGGTCACCATAGAGGGCTTCATTGGGCACAGCTCTATGGGCCCCCTGCGCCCCCCATGTTGTGTGATTCGAAGGGACTCGAGATATTGCGTACTAAAGTGAATGCCACACGCCCACCTAGGTATGAATGTCTAAGAGGTCAGGGTTGAAGTAAGTAAGACGGTTTGTCCATGAACCTGAAAGTTTTCGAAAGGCCAAAGGCAAGAACTTGCGGAAGTCGACGAGAAATCGAGCGACGAGCACTTGACTGCAGAATTCAAAAAGGGCGAAGGCTGGCAATCTTGTTGTAGTTTAAATGGGGCCCAGTGGACGCGAAAGTCATCACTGAAGCAGGTACGCCATCAGGCATCCCTGATGATATCCTAGGAGCGTATGAGGATCTTCGTTGGATGGAGCCTCATACGTCCTCTCCATCCCCTGCTGTCAGAAAGTATCAAAACACACAAACAAATCAACGGATGCCCTGTGATTCCAAGGGTTTCACACACACGACTCCCGTTGAAGGAGGCAGAGTCTTTTTGCTAAGTGCTAGACGCTCAGGAGTGAGAGTCAAGGACTAATGTGCACATGTGCGCGCAAGAGGGGCAAAAAGGGAAGACATGAGAAGAAGACGAGACAAGACCAAGGTATGCAATTGCGGTGGAGGGGAGACCAAGCGCACAGGGACAACCGATGAGCCACACCTCCTTGTCAAAAACCTGGGCCGCCTCATGCCGATTTGAAATGTACGGGCACACATATACATACTAAGGGCCGGACCGATGTGCGCGCAAGAGAAGAAAAGGGTGAGGGTGACGGGACATGAAGACAGAAAGGACATGAAAGAAAAGAAGGAAAAGAAGTCTGCGTGGGCCAATGACGAGGGAACCAAATGAAAGGGGACAAACCGATGAGAAGCCGAGCCTCATCAAGCCACCTGTTGTAAACGCCTAGTTTGCTTGTAAGACACTCTGCGCACGAAGGAAAGAGGAGAAGAAAAGAAACAAAACGATGGCGTTCCCAGCTACGACTCCAGCGTCCAAGGACACACCAGACATCCGTTCGCGCCGCCGTGGAGAAGGCACGCAAACTCGCGCGTCTACATGGAGCCCTGCAGCAGAGGCCCGGCTGCAGGCGGCATTGGCCAAGCCAACGCGAAGAACAAGGTAAGATTTTCTTGGAGACTGGGGGCGCCACACATGACGTCAAGAAAAAACTTGAATAGCAGAAAAGCGGGGTTCCCAGCTATGACGGAAGCATCCAGGGACACCCAAGCAAGAAAGAAAGGGGGAGGGAAGAGAAAGGAGAGAGAGAGAGAGAGAGACAAAAGGGACCGGAGGAGGAGGAGGAGGGCTGTGGCTGACCCCAATGGGTCAAAAACATCTGTGGTCTACTTGGGCGTTGCCAAAGTGGCTGGCTGCTCACGTCCGCTGCGGACACGTTCTGGCGTGCCCTGGGGCCGCCTACTCAGTTGCAACAGTCCGCCGAATCTTGGCAAATAACTTTGGCACAAGCCTACTCCGTCCGCTGTCCACACTCCTCGGGTACACCCTGGGCTGGCATGAAGCCAGACACACGAGATATTGCGTACTGAACTGAATGCCACATGCCACACGCCCACCTAGGTATGAATGTCTAAGAGGTCAGGGTTGAAGTAAGTAAGACAGTTTGTCCATGAACCGTCAAAGTCTTCAAAATGCCAAGGTCAAGAACTTGCGGAAGTCGACGGGCAATCGAGCGACGAGCACTTGACTGCAGAACTCAAAACAGGTGCGAAGGCTGGAAATCTTGTTGTCGTAAAAACGGGGCCCAGTGGGGAGTGAAAGTCATCACTGAAACAGGTACGTCATCAGGCGTCCCTGATTAATATATCCTAGGAGCGTATGAGGAGCTTCGTTGGATGGAGCCTCATACGTCCTCTCCACCCCCCTGCTGTCAAAAAATATCAAAACACACAAACAAAACTACAAACAAATTAACGGATTTGTGATTCCAAGGGTTTCGCACACACACACACAGTCCCACTCCACACACCTTTGAAGTCTGTGTCGGTACAGTGCGCGTGTTGTGTGTCGGTTGGTGGTCGACTCCAAAACGTCCACTTCGGTGGGAGTGCGGTCTGTGCATTTTGGGCCCAGACGGCGTCCGAGAAGTGTGTGGGTTGAAGGCCCCGGATAGGGCCATAGGACAATACAAGCACACAGACTGGAGTTGGAGTGTTTTAGGTAGAGCTGTTGTCACAGAATTATTCTTCATTTTTCCCTAGGGTGACTACATAGACTAGAACATCTAGAACTGTAACATGAACTTGACCAACCGACAGAGCCCTAGGAAGAGGACTTGAAAAATTTGGGATTTTTTGCGTGGCACCTAATTTATTGGATGTGCGTTCCTGCAAGCATTTTGGTGTTGATTCTGCCGAGGTTGACGCAATTCAGATGGGTGATTTTCTTCTGTGTGCCGACGAAGCCTTAGTGGGACACTGGACAGTCACCTAGACTCTCCTCTCATTGTATGTCGAGGCCATGGGCCTTGAACAAGAGGCTTTGCAAAAGGCCGAGCATTTCATTCGGAGATGCTGATATCAAACATCCATAGTGAGCAGGTCCTGAAGGCCCTGGGCAGTAAGACGCAGGCTGTGCAGATGATCACCTATATAGATTTGTACAGAAACTGTCATGCCAAGCGCCCGCAACCTGGACTGTAGCGCGTTGAGATTTCAGGTGCCACACAACCCAGGAGCAATGGCAGTTGCTTGGGTCAGAGGAAGAAAACCTAAGGCAAGATCCCTTGAGAGGAGCTGTGTGTGATGATGTGTGATGCTTGACTGCTGGCTTTTGTTCCTGGATCGAGTTGTGCCTGTCCACCGTTTCTGGGTTGCTGGGTTTGTCATTCGCCATGGCAGGTCAGATTTGGACCAATCAAGGCATTTGTGGTGGCCTGAAACATTTGGAAGCCAAACACGGATGGATTGAGTCCGATTGAGTCCTTATGTGGTCCAGAACTGTCTGAAACTGGCCAAAAGGCTGACACAACATGAACTCCATGACCGGCAGGCCTTCCGCCGGCGTGCATGCGAGCTGTGTAGGAAAGGCAACACGGAAAACATCGGAAAACACTTGCCCCGGCATTTGTGCAGCACAGGTAACCTCTGGATGGCAGTGGAGCAGGTCGACCTCAAGTACAGTGGAGCCCCCGCTTGGCGAGGTCAAATGCTGCGAGGTTGGTGCGTGAAAAGGCATTGAGAGAAGTGCAGATTTACGGTGCGAACATATCTAAGGTATTCATCTAAAGATATCTAAGGTGAAGTTAGGCTCGATGCAGTTCATATTTTGTTGGACATCGTCAGCGCTTGTCGGCGTCGGCACTGCCAAAGTGAGTCAACCTCTCGGGCAGTATTTTGAGTTGATGAGCTTTGTGCGGTCCGTTCAAGGAACATGCCGGCTCAGAGGTGAGTGGGTGGGGAGGCACTTTATCCTGATAGCCCATTGCACACAGGCAGCGGGTACTGTAGAGCACATGAGCAAATGTTTGATCAGATTCCAGCCATTTCCAGCCAGTTTAACCACGAAGCAGAAAACGTCGTGGGGAAGACGTGGGTTGATGGCTTCGGCGACTTCGCCCTCTCCTGGGGGCGGAGATGACATGGAGAGACCGTCATCATCCCCAGAGACGATCGGAGATCCTGAGTCCCCACCTGACTCGCCCACCATTGAGAGCTTAGCGGAGGAAGCCGATGATCCTAGCTCTCCTGAATCGGCAGCAGAGTCGCAAGATCAAAGCAAGAGGAAGAAGAAGAAGAAGAAAGACAGGAGAAATCTTGAGGGCAGGAGGCAGATGTCCAGATCTGGAGAACTCAAAACCGCCACTAGTGTGGATCAACCAGAGGCGACGCGTTCCGCCGGTACAGGACTCGGGGCGGAAGATATAGCGAAGGTCGCAGTGGCCCCCAATTCCAAATTTGTGAAGCTTCAATCTTTCTTGATGAAGCAGCAAGAAGACAGAAGCGCTGCAGGGAGAATAGAACGACTTATGAGGTCTACAAAGTACGATGTCGCAACAGGTGTCATTATCATGGTGGATGTTGGGTTGAATTGGATGGACATCGACATCAGGGCATCTGGGCGAGATACTCCTTTGTGGCTTGATGTCTCTGCGACCGTTTGCTTGGCAATCTACACCATAGAAATGATTGCTATAACCGTCCTTCATGGCCGTCGAGTTCTTCAGGATAAATGGTTTTTGTTGGACGTGGTCATTGTGGGATCCGGTCTCCTGCAGCTCTTCCTGAGTGCCATTGGAATATCTGTGGATGAGGTCACGCTCTTGAGAATTTTGTTGCTGGATGGCATTAGTGAGGATGTAAAGCTTTGTGAGCTTAGAGAGGTGCAGCCACTATGGTGTGTATACAGGTGTTAGTGGACTTCCTGCTTGTGGGTGTGTTTGAAGCCAGGGTGACGGGGAACAACATTTCAGGAGCATGTTCTTCGCCATGCGTGGAGGCAGCGTCTAGCTGACATGCATGTATCAGCATGTATTTAGCCATATTTAGCCGATTTAGCCTTTTGACTCAGTAGCGTTGGAGTAGACTAGCCAGAGGGCTACAATAATTAGGGGCTCAAGAAGTTCCAAACCTTAGCCTTGGGCAGTGAAACCGCCTTGTTGAGAACCACGTTTGTGCACAGGTGACAAACCAGGTGTACTTATCTATAATATGTATATATCTATTTATAGTTCTTTGCTTCCTTGATGCCATGAACGCCTTGTAATACTATGTTTTTGCTCCGGTATTTGGCAAGTACCATTTAGGTCAGTCCAGACTTGGGACTCAATATGAACTGATCTACCATCAAAAAGTAAGGAGGAAAGACGAATGAAGACGCCCGACCAACAACGAACCGGAAGCGGCACCCTGCTGAGGAGAGTCGTTCGAATCATGAGGCTTTTTCGCCTTTTCCGCAAATTCCGCTTCCTGAAGGACTGGACTCCCGATGAAACTGGCTGGTGAGCTGGTGAGGGGTCTTTTTCATCTAGAGTCACTAGATGAAGCACCATGAAAGGCTTGAAACTGCCGTGTAATTAGCGCGCCTGGATGCTCGCGCTTCACAAGCTTGCAGGAGCTGAGGAAGCTCTTGAAGATGACAGGGCTTTGCTTCAAGCCTCTCAGCGCGACATCAAGAAACATTGAGTTTTGTTGTAGTTGAACAGGCTGGCCTGTTGGTTGCGCCCTTCTACGCTGAGTATGCGCGGCCCACTTGAACCTCCACCCAAACTATAGCGAGATTAAGCCAGACCAAAAAAAAATAAAAAAATACTATTCTTCTGATGGACGAGCAACTGGCCCGGTCTTCCGGACGTTTTTCTTGCATTGTTTTTTTCTTGTCGGCTCCCATTTCGAGTTTCAGAAAAGCACATTCAAAAAAGCGCGCAAGAATGGTCAGATATTTCCCATTTTTGTCCATATCCACTCCTCTCAGGACTTTGTGCTGGTCCTTCCTTTTTTGCTTTGTGATCATGACATCGTGGGCCATGCTCGCTGTGGAGTTGTTGAGCCCCTTGATGCCAGAGATGATCGCAAGGGGAGAATGGGAGGAGCTCGTGGCGTTTGGCGTTCTCTCTCCTTTTCATTGAAGCTGATGCAAGTCTCATGCAAGGTCTTCAGCAACATTTGCATCATGAAATGCAGTCATGTCATGTCATGCTGCCCCTAAACTGACCGTCTCTGAGTCTTGTCAACCATTTGGAAGAAGATCCTTCGCAGGATTGCGAGTTTTGCACCAAGTCCTTAACTTCGGTCTTGTATGCGAACCTGTTGATCTTCAAGACCGTGGTGGCTGGTGATAGTTGGGGTGACGTGGCAGTGCCTTTGATTGAAGCTGACCCATGGGTGGCGACCGGAATATTCATTGGCTCCCACCTCACCATTGTCTTCGGAGTGCTTAATTTGGTGGTTGCAGTGGCGGGCTCGGTTGACCCAATTGCTTGTGAAGTATGCAGTATGTTTGTGGTTTTGATCGGCTGTGTTTGGGATTGAGCTGGGGTCCCCGGGTGAGACAGTTGGGTGAATATGATGAATGCCGGCAGGTTGTCGTTGATACTTTTGCCGAACAGCGCATGCGAGATGTGACGACCATGGCAATGGAAATGGATGAAGATGCCGAGGAGGACCTACGAGACCTTGACAAGATGTTCCTTGAAATCGATGCCAACAATGACGGAACTTTGACCTTCGATGAGCTCCTGGAAGGTGCAATGAAAGTTCGCGAGTTTCAAAATCGGCTGCGCGTAATGGACATCGACCAGAACGATTTGCAGCAACTCTTTTTGATGCTTGACCACGATGGTGGTGGAACTATTGATCCGGACGAGTTCAAGAAAACCTTATCACGATGGGCGGCTCGTCTGCCACGAAACATCAGTTGATGTCGCCTTGTGTGATGATCAACGTCTATATTGATTGTTTATCGTGAGACATCGTGATTGTTCTTATCATCTTGCATTGGACTGGATATGCACCTCGTGATAGGTCTCCATGGCAGGGAAATAGCCATTCTATGCCATTCTAGAAACCACTCTACGTAGGAGCATTTGAGCATGCGAGGCATTTGACTCCAAGACCACCACGCGCTTCGTACGTTACAACCTCCAGCAGCTGATGAATGATCACAGCACAGCTGCCACCAAGATTGCTCAAATGGAAATGCGCTTAGAAGCGGAGCTGGCCTTAGGGTGGTGTTGGCACACATGCACATGCACACACTTGTTTAAAATTTGCTGGCCTTGATGGAACAGCCATTGGCTGTTGGTGCAAAATGGCTCTTGGCGTTTGGTTTGGGGTCTTCCTGTTCTGAGGCCATTGCGTCGACCGAACGCAATGTCCGCAAGAGGACCCACTTGTCTCACCGAAGAAGGAGACACCGTGGGTCCAACTCACACCCACAAGCAGGCAGGTTTGTATCAAAGCTTGGCATGCGATCAGTGATAGGTCTTAACATGTGTGCATGATTGTGCATGTGTTCACTGTTTGACACTGCTTGGCCATACCAGTATATCAGTATTTTCTATTATTTTCTAGGTGTGGTCCTTTACCAGATCACAGGCGAGAATTTGGATTGACAATCTTCGACATGAGGCATAGAACAACTGTGCCAAGAGCTGTGGTCATCCTTATCGTACAGCAGCTCAAAGGCGAACTACTAGTCGATCGAAAAGAAAGACACCAACCCTCAAACCCGCCCCATCACACATCAACTCTGTGATCCTCTTTGTAGAAAACAAATTGGTTCCCTTTGAGTCAGTAAGATATATACTGCATTAAGATGCTACCCTGCAACCACCCCACAGCACAACATGAAGCATGCACAGCAGCCTTTGTTCTCCTTCGCCCTGTAGCACTAACAAGATACGAGAGATTCCCGCGCCGCTGTCAAAGATGTGCATATGTCAGGTGTGTGTGTGTGTGGTGTGTGTAACCCTTGGACTCACAGGGCACCTTTCGGTGTTGTGCAGGGGGATCA